TGTTCGCACACTGACAGATGAGCTTCTGATACTCGCCAGGGCCGCACTAAGACAAGCTAGTGGGCCCCCTTTTGAAAAAAAACATTTTTCTTTCCTTCATATTTATTTTGTGATCGAATTTTTCACTCATGCTATCTGATACTTTTACAACCAGTACTTTACCTATATTTCATCAAAATAGCAGATGATAAAACGTGCCTTATCTATTTATCTGATACGGATCTCTGCATTACGGGCCTTCATGAAGCATTAATGTTCGCACACTGACAGATGGGCTTCTGATACTAACCAGGGCCAGACTAAGGCAAGCCAGTGGGCCCCCTTTTGAATTTTTATTTAGTGACCGAATTTTGAAATATATTTATTTTGTGATTGCTTATTTCGCAGTCTGTTGTCGTTTTGTGTGATGGAGAAATATTGTGGGGCAGTAGGTAATTGTAGGATATATATTATGTAAGGGATGGTGTACCACCATATGTCCCATAGGGTAAGTTGTTCAGTTCCATGGTCTAAGCACGCCTGCAAAATTTTCGTTACACCGTCTCTTACACCCCTTATATCGGGCAAATAAGGAATATAGGGCCTAAAAAGAAACAACGGGTCACCTCAACTAGTTACATCCCTGTCCTACAAATTACATTCTGCGAGCGTGAAGTAAATTACCATAGGAATCTGAACTCTACGCCCAGAGTACACCGACTGACAGCTGTGATAGCTTAATTCGCTGTCGTGTTTTGTGATGGCGAAATATTGTGGGGGAGTAGGGAATTGTAGGAAATAAGTAGGGAAATGTAGGTATAAGGGACGGTGTACCACCATATGTTCCATAGGGTAAGTTGTTCAGTTTCATTGTCTGAGCACGCCTTCAAAGTTTTCGCAATACAAACTAGAAACATTCGTTTTTACCAGGTTAGCGTACCAATAGGGCCTAAAAAGAAACAACGGGGCACATCGACTGAATACATCCCTGTCCTACAAATTACATTCTGCGAACACGAAATAAATTACCATAGGAATCTGAACTCTACGCCCAGGGCAGACACACCGACTGACAGCTGTGATAGTTTATTTCGCTGTCTGCTGTGATGGCGAAATATAGCAGGTAAGTAGGGAATTGTAGGAAATACAGGGTGTAAGGGACGGTGTGCCACCATATGATCCATAGGGTAAGTTGTTCAGTTTCATGGTCTGAGCACACCTACAACGTTTTCATTACACCGTCCCTTACACCCCGTAGGTATATTGGGCAAACAAGAAATATAGGGCCTAAAAAGAAACAACGGGTCACCTCAACTAGTTACATCCCTGTCCTACAAATTACATTCTGCGAACGTGAAATAAATTACCATAGGAATCTGAACTCTACGCCCAGGGCAGACAGACTGACTGACAGCTGTGATAGCTTATTTCGCTGTCTTGTTGTGATATGGCGAAATATTGTGGGGAACTAGGGATTTGTAGGAAATATAGGGTGTAAGGGATGGTGTACCACCATATGTTCCATGGGGTAAGTTGTTCAGTTTCATGGTCTCAGCACGCCTGCAAAGTTTTCGTTACACCGTCCCTTACACTCCGTATATCAAGCAAACAAGAAATATTCACTTTTACCAGGCTAACGTGCCAATAGGGCCTAAAAAGAAACAACGGGTCACCTAAACTGATTACATCTCTGTCCTACAAATTACATTCTGCGAACACGAAATAAATTACCATTGGAATCTGAACTTTACGCCCAGGGCAGACACACCGACTGACAGCTGTAATAGCTTATTTTGCTGTCTGCCGTCGTGTTGTGTGATGGCGAAATATTGCAGGGAAGTAGGGAAATGTAGAAAATATAGAGTGTAAGGGACAGTGTACCACCATATGTTCCATAGGATAAGTAGTTCAGTTTCATGATTTGAGCACGCCTGCAAAGTTTTCGTTACACCGTCCCTTACACCCCGTTTATCAGGTAAACAAGAAATACCGCCTTTACCAGGTTAACGTACCAATAGGGCCTAAAAAGAAACAACGGGTCACCTCAACTGAATACATCCCTGTCTTACAAATTACATTCTGCGAACACGAAATAAATTACTATAGGAATCTGAACTTTACGCCCAGGGCAGACACACCGACTGACAACTGTGATAGCTTATTTCGCTGTCTTGTTGTGATATGGCGAAATATTGTGGGGGAGTAGGGAGCCGAATAGGGAATATATCGGGCGAACAAGAATGATACGCATTTACCACGCTAACGTACCAATAGGGCCTAAAAAGAAACAACGGGGCACATCAACTGAATACATCTCTGTCCTACAAATTACATTCTGCGAACACGAAATAAATTACCATAGGAATCTGAACTTTACGCCCAGGGCGGACACACCGACTGACAGCTGTGATAGCTTATTTCGCTGTCGTGTTGTGTTATGGCGAAATATTGCAGGGAAGTAGGGAATCGTAGGAAATACAGGGTGTAAGGGACGGTGTACCATCATATGTTCCATAGGGTAAGTTGTTCAGTTTCATGGTCTGAGCACGCCTGCAAAGTTTTCGTTACACCGCCCCTTACACCCCGTATATCGGGCAAATAAGAAATATAGGGCCTCCTAAAATAAACAACGGGTCACCTCAACTAGTTACATCCCTGTCGTACAAATTACATTCTGCGAACACGAAATAAATTACCATAGGAATCTGAACTTTACGCCCAGGGCAGACACACCGACTGACAGCTGTGATAGCTTATTTCGCTGTCATGTGTTGTGAGATGGCGAAATATTGTGGGGGAGTAGAACCGAATAGGGAATATATCGGGCGAACAAGAATGATTCGCTTTTAATGCCTGGTCTGGCAATTCGTTGTGGTGTTTTAACACGGTTTTTTGATACCGAATTGTCTGGAAGGGAATAGAAAGCAAAATAGAGTAGGTTAAAGGCAAGCTTTACATATGAAAACTATTTTACGTAAACGCATCATCATCTGCCTGCCCTTATCCCAAATCAGTTGGAGTCGGCACAACATGTTTTGTTAGAGCACAAATGCAAATGAGTAGCAAATAAATTTGCCAATTTTGTATGACCGGCCGTCTGCCTGACGTCAACCCTCTTTGGGAATGCTATTGTATGTATCACCGCCACCATGCGGTTGACCATAGTCGCCAGGTATTGAGCCGAGGTCAGAAACTCTACGTCGCCTTTTACGAAATGTTTTAATTTTACATGTAACCCAACCACAGAACCCAACGCTTGTTAACGCCCTACCTACCCCGTAAGGGATAAATGCGTGATTATATGTATAAGTATGTAAACCCAAAACAAAATTCCTGCTAAAAACGGTGGCATAATCATAATAGTTGTCTCGGTCGACGCACCTAGCGTGGTCTGCAGCCAAAGTCTTTATACCGACCGACAGAGGCGGCTGTAAAAACACTCGTGTGTGGCTACCCTTACTATGGAAACTCACTTGGTTTTCGGGAAACTTGAGGTTTGTAAAGTTGACAAATAAGTTTTTAAGTCAACGAAGTTACAAAAATATCAATAAACTCCAATAACATAATTTTCGACATGTTTTGAATTGATCAAGCTTTAAGCCGTTAGTCCCGGTTGCTGTCTATGATCACTTAGACGGCAGTCGTTACACAACTATGTCAGAGGCCTGCTACTTGCATTAGGCGGTTGAAAAACTCTGACACCAGGGTTCATCGGGTCGTTGGACGACTTGGTGGCCCACTCGAAGAAGAAAAAGATCAAGAAAAGATGGAGACCAAAAATTCCACACTACATTTGCTCGTAGCAAAGTGCTACAAGTTTGCTACGAGATGTCTTCTACATCTAAAAATCAGTCTTGAACTTAAGTGAACTTTTTATACAAAATATGGTAGGAAAGTAAGTAATTTAATTTTGACCTGCCTCTATCTTTTATCAATTAAAAGTAATTCAATAACCAAAATCCACCCAAAATTGTTTCACACTCCAACAGGAATTCAAGTCGCGTATCCCACCAAAACAGGCTCTAAAATAATAAACCTTTCCAAACTCCTTAAATTTATACCTCTTATCAGGTGTACCCTCGTAACAGCCTACCGAACTAAAGAGCGCGTTGTCAAAACCGGCACTCCATTATTGGCCATACATTTTTAAGCTCGCGATAAGACTATCAACCTCGGGAGGGTTACGTGGTAGGCCGGGCTGTTATCGTCAGTTTCTGCATGAACGCGCTCGTTACGCCCCCCCCCCCCCCCTTTACCGCCCCCCTGACTCCCTCCCTGGGGGGGCGCTAACCCCCCAGTCTCGACTCGGAGACAACGCCGCGGAATCTTGACACTTGAATTTAATTTATTCGCCTGATTTTGCGATAGTTGGTTTAGTTTAGGTGCGCTAGAAGTCTAAGTTGTGATTTATGAGTCAACACGGCTAAGTTTTCTATGATTTCATACAATTATTGCCAACTAATATAATATTCTAACCTAAGGACACGATGATTAAATTAAACAGATTAATTATCTTTGTCTAAACCCCAATAGCGTAACCTAAACCCTTGATATGTATTGGAAGAAAAATAAGATAAAAATGGCTAATAATGTGAATTTCACTACTTGTTATAAGAATAGACATTATCGAATATTATTTAGTAGAGAGAGAGAGACCCAAAATATTATGTAGAAACCTACTCTAGTCATATATGAAAATAGTTACATGCAAGGGTGTTGTAGGTCGCCGTACACAGAGTTTGTTGAATCCATTCCGAATATAGGTTTGCCAGAATACATGCCAAAATCTCTAACAACGGTAATATTTTAGCGAAAATGTTAAGTATTTATAAACTAGTATTATTTAATCTATTGGGTTTTGCACTGACAGTGCTTTATTATACTCACAATGAAAAAAAAAATTGGAAAAATGTCATGCATTGACCGGGCCGGGCTGCATGGATATCTACAGATTTCGCTAGATAGTCACTTGGAGACGACCATCAAGAGGCTGAAAATTTGGCATTTACGTATCGATCGGTGCATCGACAGCTCAGTGGCAGAGCAATGGGGCGTTTGCCCATGCGACCTGGGTTCGAGCCCTAGTCAATGCATGACATTTTTTCAGGTTCTTACTTTCATTTATAAGTATTATTTAGCTATAACTAAATCAACTTCACTAAGAAGGTCAATAACCTAAAATTTTGCGACCGACCATTATTCCTAAGAAAACAAATAAGAATCATTCAAACTATATATAACAACTAACTATATATACAACTATATATATAACTATACGCGCACGAGTTCATGACAATCGTTTTATTTTGTATGAAATAACATGCGATTTTTTTCCGTCCATGCGGAAACTTGCTTAAACAAAAGCGAGAATAAAATCACTGTGCGGATAAGGCCTTATTTCGGGAAGACCACGAACTCGCGTGCGAACTTTTAATGCACTGGCTTAGAAGTACTTACTTTATTGTCAAAATATAATCTCCTTGTTACAAATGAATTCTTGAGTTAACTATTGGCCCTATTCATTTTACCGTTTTCCCACTAAATCAAAACTTTCACCGGCATTTGGCTTATCTATCTACAACCAGCAAGCCGTGAAACCGATTTCAAATAAATACTCGACTGTAACGCCATCTTCCGAATTCTCAAGAGGGATAAATCTTTTGGTACGATCAAGGACTCCCCAAGGATCTTCTTATACTGGTTTTACTTAATAACTGTATTGAAAACCGGTTCAAGTTGGTCCCATAATTGGGTAGCTGGAGGTGATGCTGATAGTATTTATTGGTTCTTGTGAAATGTTTGCAGAAATTAATTGTTAGTTACTTTATGCGCATTTCGCGGTAGCGAAGTTCCTGAAATGGAATTAGGTTAGGGTTGGGGCGTGTGTGAGCGTATTTTGTCACTGTTACTTGATAACAAAACGTCTTTCAAAGAGCTACCGACATGGTTGGCATAGTGAGTGACCTTGAAACAAAAAAGTTATTTTTAATGGCCAGAGGTGAAACATATCGCAATCGATCAAGCATAAAAATACAAACCAAAAGTATCCTTAGATAAAAAGTCGCAAAGCGTATAGTTTCAGAGATATATGGTATTAAAAGTCAACATTTACTTTTCCATACTAAAATGTTGGATACTCTTTTGAGTTCGCAGATGCTAACTTATGTTCCTTGGTTTAAATACTTGCTTTTCGCTATTAGTTGTTGGTATGGTAGATTTACAAAGCCAATCATCAAAGTAGAAAGCTGGTAGGTATACAGCAATTGAATATTATAATCACATAGATTTTCCTTTTTCGTCATCTACCTACAGTTACCTAGCTACCTATAGTTAAATACGAGCACCATTACAACAGTAAACTAAAAGCGATCTTAGTCACATGGCAAGTTTTCGTGTACTATCCTCCCCAAAACTTACTAATTTCAAACAAGTAGATAGTTTAGTTTCCTTGATTAAGTTTGCCCATTTTACAACTTTGAGTTAGATAGGTACATACAGCATGATAAAATAGTTAACTATAAGATTAGGAAGCGTGAATCAATCCGTGAAAACATATTTCCCCATAAAACATACACGATCTTGAAAACAGAATTAGCCATGGGGTCCAGAAAACTCGTTTGTTTGTGAAATTATATCTCAATCACAAATGTTTGTGGAACATTGAAAGTCTAAAAACTGAAGAATAAATGACTGGAAGCATATCGCGACATCAGCAAGAAGTTTCACGCATTAACTAATACTGAACTTAACGAACTTGAAATACTAATCAAGATACTTTGGTCGACACTTGTATTGGACCTTCAACCTAACTTTGAATTTGACTTTACAGTACGAGGATCATATTTTTATCATTCCTACTTTTTTAGAGAAAGCTTTGATATATGTCTAGGCTAGTTAACGATTTCACCCGCTGCAACTCATTTTCCCGCTGCAAGATATCTTTTTCCGGCATGGGTTATACATATTAACCTTCCTCTTAAATCACTCTATTGCAAAATAGCGCATCGAAATCCGTTGCGTGGTTTAGGAGAAGTTAGCGAATTCCACGATAGAGAGAGAAACGCAAAAAGGGACTTCATTTTATACTATTTATACTTAATAATTGATACTTATTGATACACATTTTTATACCTTACCTATCCACAGCTTGAATAAACAATTTTCATTGTCCTCAGGCGAAGAAGGCCTAGACGGTCTTGAAGCCCTTCACTCGGACGAGACGGGTTCCGGAGACAACTCCAACGCAGGGTCCAGTGGGGCTGATGATGATGCAGCCAGACTTCGGCTGAAGAGGAAGCTGCAGAGGAACCGGACCAGCTTCACAAATGAACAGATCGACAGTCTTGAGAGAGGTAACTAACAAACAAACAACGCAGGGTCCAGTGGGGCTGATGATGATGCAGCCAGACTGCGGCTGAAGAGGAAACTGCAGAGGAACCGGACCAGCTTCACAAATGAACAGATCGACAGTCTTGAGAGAGGTAACTAACAAAGAAACAACACAGGGTCCAGTGGGGCTGATGATGATGCAGCCAGACTTCGGCTGAAGAGGAAGCTGCAGAGGAACCGGACCAGCTTCACTAATGAGCAGATCGACAGTCTTGAGAGAGGTAACTAAATCGGAAGTCAGAGAATTATGACAACCGAAAATTGTCACAAGCATCCGCAGACATGGCCTGTTATACCATTTCATATGTAGATAGGTTGTTTCCTTGCTAGAAGGTAGAGTCGGAGTGCACATTGAAACTGCTTGTTGCTTGCCTTCTTCTTCGTCAGCATGGTTTAGCCACATTTGGGCATATGCCTCACCTAATCTTCTCCATTCTGCTCGGAGTTCCGGTTTCTGCATTCACAATGTCCCGGCGTGATCCTTGATGTCGTCTGTCTATCTGGCGGGTGGTCTGCGTAGCTGCGTGTAAATACGAGGTTTTCAGTACAGAACGCATCTGCTCCATCTTATGTCTTTTCGGGGACACATATGTATGTCCAGCCCATGCCCATTTCAGCTAGGCAACTCGAAGTCCTGCCTGCCTTGCCTGCCAGACCTGGTGATTTCTGAGCTTCTGGGTGAGCTTATTCTATCGTAGGTACTCTGTGTTGGTCACAGTGTGCCTTGTCTTGACTTGAATTGCCTTGAGATGACTGAAACTTAATTTTGTTTTCAGAGTTTGAAAGGACACACTATCCAGACGTCTTTGCCAGAGAAAGACTTGCTGCCAAAATAGGACTACCAGAAGCCCGAATACAGGTGAGTGTCCATATTTTACTCTTAAAATAGGGTAAATTTTTACTAGTGACCGATAGCGAAAACTCAGAACCGGTTGGCGATTGATAAGGAACAACTTTCTAGTTTCCCCAAGGAAAATAAGTCTAAATATGATAAAAATATTAGTAATTTAAATCAGCTTACCGGCAATAATTTTGTATAGTAGACTTTTTTTAGATTTTGACCTTTGTTAAAAGTTGTACCTATTCTGAGGTTTCGCTATCGCTATCGGTTACTAGTAAAGTTGCACCCATTAAAGCTGTCAATTAATTTCTTTCTGTTAAGAGGCACAGTAGCGAGTTGAGCAAATCCCTCTTTCTAAAGTTAATGAAAAAGAGGGATCTGCTTAGCTTGCTACTGTACTTGTCGAAGTGTAAATCAGAACTATAATATAAAAAAATAATAATATAAAGAAGAGGCTCGTAACCAGCAGTGGATACGTTTGGGCTGAAAAGATAATTACGACACGATTCTTTATCTTTTGAAAATACGATGAACTACCAATTTCAGTCTTAAACCATCTCATTCCAATCGTGATTTTTTGAACTACTGTTATGTATTAAGCGACATTGTAAAATAAAATGTGCGTAAGCAAGCGCGCAGTAGTTGTGTTAACCTAACCCGACGTTAAGGTGTGGTTCTCGAATCGTCGCGCGAAGTGGCGGCGCGAGGAGAAGATCCGCAGCCAGCGGCGTTCGCCCGAGTGCGCCTACGCCCCGCCGCCGCCCGCGCACCCCTCGCACCCCTCACACCCGGTGCCGCCCGCGCCGCCTGCGCACGTGGGGCAAGCGCCGCACCAGCCGTATCAACCGCCTCTCAACGTGGACACTTACAGGTCAGTGTTTAATAAAGGTGACGTAGCTTTTCACGCACCCTACTCCGTATGTAAAGCGTCGCAGAAACGATATCAGCTACATCTCTCGACACTTAAAGGTCAGTGTCTATTATACTTTAGGTTTTCAAGCACCTTACGCCGTTTGTGAAGCGTCGCAGAACCATTTGTCTTTTAATTAGGTAAGTGTCTTAATAAATGATACTGTAGGTCAAGTATCGTTCGCCCGAGTGCGCCTACGCCCCGCCGCCGCCCGCGCACCCCTCGCACCCCTCGCACCCGGTGCCGCCCGCGCCGCCTGCGCACGTGGGGCAAGCGCCGCACCAGCCGTACCAACCGCCGCTCAACGTGGACACTTACAGGTTAGATACTAACTCATTACCTTAGATCTTGAGGTCTACTATAGGTTTTAAGGCACCCTACCCCGTTTGTGAAACATCACAAAAAATACACAGTTTGGCTCTCCAAAAGGTTAGTGTCTTAATTATACTGAAGGTCAAGTGCCTACGCCCCGCCGCCGCCCGCGCACCCCTCGCGCCCGGTGCCGCCCGCGCCGCCTGCGCATGTGGGACAAGCACCGCACCAGCCGTACCAACCGCCTCTCATCGTGGACACTTATAGGTTAGTGTCTTCTATACTAGAGCTTTTCAAGCACCCTACGCCGTTTGTGAAGCGTCGCAGAAACCATACCAGCTATCTCTCAACCCTGGACACTTATAGGTTATTTGATTGTATACTTTAGCTTTCCATGCACCCAGTGGCGGATTAACCCTTAAGCAAAATAAGCAATTGCTTGGGGCATCACGTCTTGGGGGGCACCAGAAGAAGCACAGCGTAATGAGAATGCCACCGTTTTGCAGCTAGCCAATCACAAACCAAATTCCGCGTTTACCAGCGCTACTTTACCGCGCTGGAGGGCTCCGGAACCAGAATATCCTGTTGTTCGCCTACGCAACGCGCTTCCGAAAGAGCGGCCAGTCAAGGGCGCGATTAGA